AAAGTATGTAAAATTTAAGGTCGACTTGAGCCATTGTTTCTGCGCTTTTCCCCCTCAATCACACGTTAATGAAAGCTCTTGGCGCGCTTGTTCAATTGCACCAATCAAACACGACAAATTCAACTTGAGGAAGGCGACAGTAAAGTTTGAATATCACTTGTAAATATAAGATGGGACAAGTCTCCCCTCCGCACAACTACGCAAGTATTGTGGGACGGAGGGAGTATGTGATTACAAATGTGTTCCCCCTTGTGTGTGAACGACAGCCATGAAAGCGAACTGATTTCATCGTTTGAGAATAAGGAAGCTAAGCATGCCGATGCAGAAAGAAACATTACGAGAAGTGCATATTGTGTTTGGGCACGTTTATGCACAGTGGTGAATATGTCTCCTTGGACTCGGATATGCAATTTTCCCAAGTGGTAAAAAGTAACGTTGGCTCTCAGTGATCAGCCGAATTTCAGCTTCCTAAACTTGAGTGAATCTCGCGCAATTTTTGCATCCACAAAAAATGAGATATATGTTGAAATTCCTCCAGACATGCTGAACACGATGAGTTGGTCACCTAACAATTTCAACAGTTCGAGATGGAGCAAAAATTGTTGAAAATGCCCACTCAAACAGGTTTTCAATGATCAGCCGAATTTATTCTGGATTAAACTATAGGAGTATGCAGGTTAATTTATCATCTTATAGGAGTTTACCAATTTTGTACTGGAATAGAATCTTGAAGGGAGGGGCTAAGCGATTTGTTTTATGTCAGATCCAAAATGAGGTTATGTAGCTCAATGCCAAAGGAGAGTGTATTCGTAGTTAACTACGCGTACTAATGTTGCCCGAGGGCTCATCCCAATTCCTAATGCCAACACAGACTGCTTTGGTATGTCGGAGACACTGTTGTGGGCATGGGGGATAGTAAATACAAGTATGCTGGTCGGGGGTAGCGGGGAGATGCCTAGTTGGGCTCACGGAGACATGAGTGCGTTGAGGACAGGCCGCAACTGACGGGGCTGTGGGTTTGAGAAGTACAGTATGCACCGTGGGTACTTAGTCCAGAGTGGACGGTAGTTGAATTGGCTGCTGAGTGTACGTAGACTTCCAAGAACGTTAGCTCGGAGTTGGTCGTCGGGGTGCTGGAACCGGAGCCATCGGCGGACTGAATGCATCCAACCGAGGATTGTCAGTTCTTGTCAGACACTCGTGGGAAGCGCGATGTAATTTTCGTACAGGATCTTGTCGTGTTGGGTCCATATACGGTGTAGGATGTTCGCAGCGAGAAGGTTCCACAGCATGTGCAGGGCGTCAGCCATTTGGGCGTCGGGGCTCACATCAAAGCTGTCCAGGTTGGATAGAATGGCCCGCGAAAAGTCGATGCCGTAATGCCACCAAGCTGCCGCGTGGAATTTCCTTATTGGGTGACGAGGACACATGCATGGAATGCGTGGTGTTGGGTTTCGATGAGCCCGCAGCCATCGACACAGCACACAGCATCAGGGCGATAGGATTGAAGGTGTGCAAGTCGGCAGTTGACTGTGAGCATGCAGAATAGCAGACGCAGCCAGACATCCCCTTTGACGGGTGGAGGCAGACAACATGTCTGCCGGATTCGACGGACATAACTGGCGATGGCAGTTGGTGTGTCACGAGACGTAGTGGTCATGGGGTGGCGGACGTCGTCGGCAGGGGCGTGGTAGGCCATCGCCACTATCATTTTCTTACCCCTGGTTGAAATGGTGGGACTCCGCGATACCAGGGAGGTTTTGTACTGAGCGCAGGAAACGCGTTTACAACGAGGTCCGGTGGTTGTAGACCATGTCCAACCTGTAGATGGGTTCCTAAGTGATGTTGCCAAATGAGTCGTTGGATTGTCAAATTCGAGCCAGGAACTCTATTTGGGATGACCACTACCCGTGCTCGGTGAGCATGTCAGCAAGGCATAGGTTGCCATTGTTGGCGCCATGCAGACACCAATGGCGGGTCGGAGGCGCAGTGGCGACGCTAGCAGTGCAGTGACCACTCACCGATAGGAAAGGCTGGTAGCACGACAGTACTCTGGCAGAAGCGAGGGATGGTGGGAGCGGGATGCGCAGGGGCGTGGGGACGGCGGTCCATTGGGCCTAAATTTATTTAATATCAATCCACAAGGGATGCACCTTCCACAACACGAGCCATTTTGAGCTGCGATGGGGGTGGTACAGCAAGGAATCGTAGGAAGAAATCGTAAGTGTGCGAGCTTCGTGAGAGTTAGCCCAGTACTCGCGCGTATTGTCGCTGGACGAGGTTCCGCCATGGGGTAGAGTCCAACGAGCCAAGCAGCATGAGACGTTGAAGCAGCAACAGTCGTTGGGCGCGGAGCTTGGACGTTAAGTGTGGTAGCTTGAGCGGTGCACCGCGGTCGTATTGCCATGTTCGAGCAATGAGTGGTCGGTACCGGTCAGGAGGCAGTGTTTTACGGCCAAGGATGAAGCGGTTGAGCATCGATTGGCATTCACGAACGTTCGTAGGGGGCACTGGAATCACAGCCGTGACATGCCACAGTACGGACAGCATGAATGTATCCGATAACAGGCGTCGACCGTGAACGATCCGAGCTCGGCAGCTCCATTTCTGAAAACACGCGAGGAATCTGTCATGCACATGGGCAATTTGGTAGCCTCGGGGGAGTCTGTGAGCGAGGAGCAGGCCCAGGTATTTGACCGGACGTCCTGACGGCAGCACGTTGACAAGTCCACCGTCGTCTATGTCCGTGGGGTTGAGATGGTCATTGAGCACCAACGTCATGCACTTAGCTTGGTTAAGCATCACACCCGACACGACAAAAACTCCTTGACAATGTGCATCTGCTCCACGGCCGATGGAAGGCCGCATGAGAGCAGTGTGGAGTCATCGGCGAAGAAAATGCAGGTCAGGGGGTCA